GATGCTTGGGTCGATACCACGGAGTTGAGCGGAGAGAAGAAGAAAGAGCAGAGTCCGGACACGGTCATGGAAGAGCCGACCGAACCAGCGCCAGGCACTGTGATCGCTCAGGTCGGGCAACAGGATGCGGAAAAGGAGCCATCGGAACCGAGGAAAGAGACTGCACCAAAAGAAGAGACACGGAGAGTTGTCCTTGTCACGATGGAACCAGAGGAGAGTACCGAAGTGATCGTGAAACCTCCAGAACAGGAACCCGAGAAGAGCGCAGAAGCTACCGTGAAGCCAACAGAACCAGTAGAAAAGGAAAAGGGATTGGAGATGGAAAAACAAGCTTTTTCTTGCTAATCGGGGGCCAGTTTGCAACCAGGGGGCTGGTAAGTTTGCCCTAGATTTGGGCTACTAACTATGGTATTTTTGGTCAATCGGTATTGTGTGTGACGCCGCTTTGCCAGCCCACCCACCACACCCACGAAGTGCCAGAAAACGGAACATGGAAAATCAGATTTTCCAGTCCTGGGGTCCGTTGGCGAGAGGAAATGTACGCTGTGGACCTGTGACTGGTCCCAAAATAGCCATGGACCATGGATGATTCTGCGGTCACAGAATGATTTGATTATGCTTTCCACAAGCATCAGTCTTGAGCCATAAATATGGATTGAGAAGGATGTGTGAACATATTCAATTTTGCTACCAGCCCACCCACCCATTGATCCAAAGACTTTTTGGGTTGAAATTATTCGAGAAAACTCCAAAAAGGATTGGTTGTGTTGTCCTTCGGGTGGGGATCACTGAGAGTCTGACTTCCATTTGGGGTGGGGATAACTCGGAAGATTTTAAGCTTAAACGTTTGATAGAGGTGCCTCGACTATCGTCGATTTCGCGCAGTGTTTGTTTTCCAGATGCAGGCCTACAAGTATCTCCGTGTTTTGGTGAAACAAACTGAGTGGGACTGACTGGGACCGACTGCTGTTTTGCAAGCAGCAATGAAGCCCGCTGACGCCCCATTAGTTGGCTTTGCAGCTTTTTTTGGTTTAACTCATTGTCAACCACACAGTTTGCAAGGAAAGGATTGGAATTCAAGTTGAATTTACGGGAGACAGTAAAATGTGAACAACATCTTTATCACCTGTCACCGCGCCTGCAACGATGCTGCGAGCTGTGAGTGCACTATCTGAGTTGGAACCCTAGGAACCCTCGACAGATCTGGTGCACATTTTCTGTATGTATTTGTGTATGTTTCGCGCGCACGATACTGTTTGCTCAGTGACCTGGACGCGAACACGATGAAGAAGCCCGCGACAAAACGAACGAAAAGAGTGGAGGCACTTTCTCATGCTTGTCTCATGACTTTAAAACGGCGCGCAGTTTATCCAAAGATCTCTAGCCAGGTCTTTGATGAAGATGGCCAGTGGCCCAAATATGGGTTTGTAACCCCGAAACGTGGCTTGAGCGCTGTGGCCCGCTTCGAACCTTTTTTTGGAAAAATGGCGCCCGACGTAGGGCCACTCAACATGCGTGTGGTGGCTTGGAGAGCCAATGCCATTGGACGTGTTTTACCTTTGCATCCTGCAACTTGCAGCCATGTTTCATGACTGCGCTAGTTTCTTTTTTGCGCCTTCGAGGTCCCTGAGAACAAGGGCAAGACTTTCAAGCAGATTGGATCCCACAAGCTACCACTTGTGCCCGGGCCGTGTGTGATAAACAGCTATGGGGCCTTGCGCCAGGGTCTCAGAGACAGCTTCGTATGGGCAAAAAAAAAGTAGATCGGTTTGAAACGAGATTGGGCTGTGATGAGGCTGTTTCAGCGCTAGCTACACAGCATGCCAGAGTCACATGAGTGTGAGGGCTTCCAAGGACTGGACCAAAATTCCAAATTCACATTGACATGGTGTTGAGTTGGGCGCAGGACCTTGGAACACAGGTCTACTATTGGGACGCTTACAAAGCAGCGTGTCGTGCCCACAAACGCAGGAGAGGCAAATACCTACGACCTACTGTTGCTGAGTTCTTGGCTGGAACCTTGTTATGTTCTGGTTTTTTGGAACCCTCGCGAACTGAGCAGTTGAGGCCATGAGTGGACACACTTGTAGAGTAACTATTGGAGTAAAACTTAGGACTACCAACGGGTTGGTCGGCGCCATGGGAGAACTCAGTGAATCCGCAGCAGTTCCGTGATCTGTTCCCTTTTCACGGGAGAGTTGCGCTGCCCTTACCAACCAAGAAGAGCTTCAACATTTAGTGAAATTTGCTTCAAGTTTCGCCACTGCTTTTTGAAATAGTTTAATTTTTTGTTGCGAGGCAGAATCTGACAAGAGGAAGGTGGTGTCCTTGTTTTCGGGCATCCTAGGGCTCGACCTTGGCGTTTCTGAGCGCCAGCCTGAATCTGTTTGTGTTGCAAGACATGCGCACTGAGACTATTTTTTGTCAATCTACTGAGTTGAGGCTTTGCACGCCTTTAGCCCATGTCAAGCCCTTGGTTTCTCAATCCTCTTTAAAACGCATGGTGATATATATTTGCGCTTTGAGGTAGAAAGCTCTGCGTTCTGCCGGTCAGTAATTGAGTGCCGCATTCGGGACAAGTTCTTTCCAAGAGCACCGATTTTCGAGGACGTTGCAACGTTTGTGCCAAAGGGAACCCTCCTAAATACCGAAGGGTATATAGGTGGGTTCCCATGCCAGGCCATGAAACCAACCACGAAACACTTTTTCAGTATGCTCAAGCGCCATTTTTGAGATGCAGTTCAGACTGCCTGCGTTCAAGTGCTTTGAGAACAGTTCTTTGTCAGGGAGTGTGCAAAGCAGGCTTGCAGTTGGGCATGGCTGACAGCAGAACGGGCCTGGTGTCACACCTTTTCAGGCTCATTGACGTGAGCCCCAACTGGTGTTTTGCTTAGCTTTGAGCTTTGCTATGCATAAGCGCTACACTAAGACATATATGTCATGTTGTGTTGTTGGTCATGTTCTATTTTAATAACACTAGTGAGTGCGAATTGCCAGTTTCCAGGTTTATTCTAAAAGAATAACGCGACTATAGGTCTGCAAGCGCGTCTTAGCTCAATGCTCCTGCTGAGTTACTTTGCCTACTTGGAGAACGTTGGAGCCTTGCTGAGCCCCAAACTTCGCTCAACACTCATCTACATTCTCCAGGCCAGTAACTAACAGCACTGTTACTTAGCAAGTCTAATTACTCAGGCCAGCACTGTTCCTGCAACTAACAGTTGTGTGTTGCTTGCTTCCTGCAGGAGTTCACGGCTCGTGGATTTGCAGTTTCTTGGGGAACTGTGACTGGCCGCATGATTGGCGTGCAGGCATTATCACGCCAGCTTGTTGCTTTGCGGAGATCTCACTAGGTATCCAGGTTTCTTGTGTTTGACATGGGAGGTGAACCGAGAGAGGGTGTTCCTGTTGGCAGTGAAGCATGGAGTTGCTGGCCGGAATCTGATTCAGGAGCCGATAATGATGCGTTGAATGGTCTTCAACGTGTTGTGACGCCAGGACTTCACTTTGATGACCCATGCACAGGCGGAGACTGAGTGCAACCAGCCTTGGAACCGACGTGGGCGCATACCCTTGTTCGAGTGGCTAAAGCCAGATGTTTCTACAGTTGATGTAGATCGGTTGAAGTCGCTCGGGAACGTAGTGTTCCCCCGTGTTGCGCGCCTTGGATTGAACATACTGCTTCGCCACTTGAAGCAGCAAATGGATGGTGTGTGCTGAGGACTCAGTTCGTTTAGTTGTACTTGGTTTGCGCAGTCTTGTGATCCAACTGTTTTGACAAAGTGGTTGTTTGGAGTTTGGAATGTAAGTTGCACCGTTCATTTTTCCTGCAAGTTTGCACCAACCACTAATTCAAGATTTAGTTTGCAAAACACGGTGCAACAAGACCTCCGGCTTTGAGTTGAACCAACATGATGGCACTGCCTTTGGCGCTCCCGGCACGCTTTGATCAATGGCTTGAACTTGCTTGTCAGTCCTGCTTCAATTTCATGGGGATGCTGCATGGGACACCTCAGACTCAAGTGCTGCTTGAGATGCTGTTAGACTTCTCAAGGCCAAGTGATAGGAGAGTTTCCCTAAACATATTTCAGTGTAGATTCTCAGAAAAAGGGTGTGTTGCTGATGATGTTTGCAGCATTTTTGTCTAGACAAAAGATGTTTAGGAGGACCAACAGCAACCCCAGAAGTAGTAGTTGGGATTGGATCTAAAAGGGGTATATACATATATTAAGTCTAGCAGAATCTAGCGGGCGCGATCGCCTTCAAGCAAGACGAGGCCAGACAATTGCTCATTGCGAGGTTCTGAAACGGCATTCATTGCTGGGGAACACAATCGCCGTCCAATCCGGGTTTGAGTTGGTGGTTTTCTGAATTGAATTTGGTGGCCTTGTTGTTCTCAATGCCTGAGGGTCAATTTTTAAGGTTGCCTACTATTTTGAAGGTGAGGCGAAGTCAGTGGGAGGTTCAAGCAGTATGTTGAGCCGTCCATGGCCATGCTTTGGCTGCGACAGGATTCCAGTCAATATGGGATGCCAACGCGTGAACTACCAACTCCGCGAGGATTGCTGTTTTTGCAGCACTTAATTTGCAATGCTGTTGCAGACATGCCGCTTGTCGTTCTAGGACCCGCTATTCTTCTTTGAAGAGAAAGCTGGCCCAACCTCCAGGCAGATGCAAGCAGTTCCTTTTTGAGAATACGTGCAGAAACTGCAGTCTTCAACATGCGCAAAAAGAACTGCGTAAAGATGACTCCAAACAAACTAGATTCCTTTTTTGGATCCTGTTTATCATGAGCAACATTTGCTCAGTGCAACTTCTTGATGCTTCCTGTTATTATGCGCAGCATGCTTCTGGCACTGGCAGGAGATGCTGATGCCAACTGGTCGAGCTTCGCAGACTGAGGATCGACTTTGGAACAGTGGGGGTGTTGAAGCCAGTGTTGATTCCAAGTAGCGTTGTGTACCAATTCAAACCCAGCTGTTACAGTGCAGATTCCTTGCTTGACTATCAGGCGACGTGGTGTCAAAAGCAGGTTTAGGTGTTGCTTGTAGTGGGTCAAGTTCAGTTTAGATTCTGCGCCACTTCTGTTTCCAACACGCATCAAAGGCTGTAATTGTATCCAAACGCAGTTCTCGTCCCGTGGTTTGAAGATTGTTTCTCAAAGAGAAGCATTTGTTGGTCATTGAAGATCAGGACATCTGTCTTTAAGTCATGGAATAGCAACAATACAGGCGCTAACAAACATTAACTCTCGGTTTTCACGAGTGATTTGAAGCAGTTGAAATTACTTCAATCCTGTTGTTCTCCTTGCCACGTTTTTCATGTCTCCTCAATGGCCACTGGAAACCTTGGCCTGGTGCAAGAGTTGTCAGACGACGAGCCCGGGGCTCATTGTCATGCACCTGGTAGTTCTGGCGACAGGCCAGCGCTAGATAGGGTGGTGGATTTGTCTGACGATGACAAATCCCAGTCTGGCAGCCACTGGCCCACTCCAAAACTGGATCAAGGTCAAGCAAGGCTGCGTGGACGCTCACCAGTGAAGCGCAAGCGTGATACAGGTCCTGTGGAAACGAGCCGGTCTTTGAGCAAGCACCAGATGAGCGTGATGACGGCCAGATGCGTACAGGGTGTCTGCAGATGTATGAGGAAGTCCAAATCCCAAACTCGCCAGAGTTGCTTTAAACAGTTTGGCAGCAAAATCTCAGATGTAGTGGATCTCCGAATGAGAATTTCCAGCCTGCACAAGATGGACTCTGACAACTTGGAGCCTAGGCTCTCTTTGGGAGAAGACTTTGTTTTTGGGTCGGGTGTTGCTTGATAACTTGAGGCGCCGTTCACGGCTTGAGTTCTTCCTGCAGTGAGGTATGCCACCTTTTGCGTGCTAGTTCTGTTGGAGAGAGGCATTCTATATCCCTTTTTGGTAAGCCACTCTGTGGGCCTGCATTTTGCAAGTTGTTGGGTGTTGGCCATGGACGCTTTCAGAAGCTTCGCAGAGTTGCCGCTTCAGGGCCTGACGCTACTGTGCCAGTTGACGGGCGGTTGGTATGCAGGGTCAACGAGAAAGTTCACGACAACAGAGTTTTGGTTCATGAATTTTTGGAGGAAATTTACCAGACATTGAGTGAACCGGCCCCAGAGGCCTCAGAGCGCGGGCTACTACCTCCAAAGCTGGCTTTTAGAAAGCGGAGGGGTAGGACTCCAAAGATTTCCTCTCTTCAAAGGCAATTGCGAAAGAAGGAGAAGGATGACAACGTCACTTCAGAAATGAAGTTACTTCCTCCAGGTACCTTCAGTGATTACCTGGCCTTGCTCCAAAGCCGACATCCGGACAAAAGATTCTCATTGAAGCTGTTTTCGTCCGTTGCTTTGCTGCAAGACTTCTCTAAGCTGCTTTCTTTTTGAGACGTGTTTCCTCTTCAAGATTTTCTTGCTTGTTATCTAGGGTCAACAAATCTTGCTGAGGTTTGGACGCAGCACTTTGCTCGGAAATTGGCCATTAGGCCACGGTCCCAACACAAGGAGTGCGGATGCTGTGTTCGCCACAAGGCGATATTGAGACGGTTGGCGAATGACAGGAACGGAAGGCAGGCCCAAATGGAAGAATACAGCCGGCGCCTGAATCGACAGCTGTCAGATAGACGGTGCTACTGGCAGGCCCGAGCAGTTGCACGCCTTGGAGGCATCCTTTCATCAGGAAATCAGGTGGTCTCAATCATTTGCGACGCCATAGACCACAGCAAGTTTCGGTTTCCTCGCAGTGACTACTTCCAATCCAAGGACCTTGATGGTATGATGAGACCGATGTTAGATCTAACATGCGCGTTAGCGCACGGACACGGCGTCTTCCTTTTCCCATCATTGGTCTTCGTTCAAAAGAACAGCAACTTGATGGCTGACATTCTGTCCTACACATTGCACAGACTTGTAGACGCTGGGCGGGTCAGCCAGCACTCTCTGGAGCTATTGCTCCAGACCGACAACACCACAAGAGAGTGGAAGAATAATTGCCTCCTGCGCCTCATTGCAACGTACGTAGGCGGCCACAGAATGAAACGTGGAGAGCTACGTTGTCTCATGACAGGTCATTCTCATGAGGACGTCGACCAATATTTCTCTACCATGTCCAACCACATCCAGACTTACAGGGAGCTACACCGCCCCAGTGACTTTGTGCATTGTTTGCAGGATTTGCATCGAAACACCAGCATCCGGCCAAACGAACCCTTGCGCGAAGTTCATTTGGTCTCCACGACCAGGGAATGGACACTAAGCACCAATCAGCAGAGTTTGGTGCTATTAATCAGTGGATAGGACTTGTTGCCAAGTTGTTTGTGTTTGGGGGTTTGTTTCAGAGGGCTTTTGATTGCTGTGAGGAAACATTACCTACAGTTGGGATGCTTGGGAAATCACCTGCTGGGAATTGGGGGGGCGTGGTGCCCCCCACGTGTTTGCGATGGATCGTCGAGGAGACGTAGGCCCTCCGCTTGGGAACTTTGAAAAGATATGAGTTTGGTTTGATGTATATAATGGTTGAAGCCGGTTCGTTGGCCTAACTGCTCACTGGCCCCTCGAAGGCTTGATGGGAGACCAGATAGACTCCAGCTTCTGGAGGAAATTGGCTTTGCCAGAGCACCAGTCAGACGTCATCCTGAGGACCACTTTCATTTCTTGGTTGGCTTCTGACATGAAACCATTGCTTCACAACACCTGTGTGCATATTACAAATGCAGGAATATACCAAAAAAATGATTTCAGGACCAAACAGTATATGTCCGACTCCCACTGGGGAAAGGCTTTCCTCTATCTTCCGCACGCTGTCTTGCAAGACATGGTTGCCAACTCTGGCAACGCTGGAGCGCCGAAAGGCACTTGTGTTATTCGCCAAAGTTAAGCCTTAAGCAGATTCACCATTTGACTTGCTAGAGCATTTTGCGTTGTGTCCCTTAGTAAGCTGTCACAGTATTCAACCTTTGCTTACTCATGAAGTTGTTTTGCACGTTGAAAGTGAAAGTTGGCACCTGTCCAGTTTTGGGCGAAGAGCGCCAATTTGATACTAAATTGGCAGAGAATTGGATGAAGTATTCCAAGATCTTACGCTGCTCAGCGTCAGTTTGCAACTTTCGTATTCGTAATCATTGAAAGGTATGCGGAATGGAACTTGCAAGTTTGGCCTGAGGTTCGGAGCCTTACTGCCTCACAGACGCTGCTGACTATATGGAACTCATGGCCCGCAACAAGGAAGAACGGGGAAGACCGCTCGACATCGATCGGTTATTTGGTTGAGTTGACCGTAGTTGCGGTAATTTTTACTTTTAAATTCTTGTTTGAGAGGGTTCAACGCAAGTTATTGTTGTGTAATCAGGAGGGCGCCACAGAGTTCTTGCTAAGGATGAGATTGGCTCCCGGACCTGCTGTGGGTCAAGGTTTCGCCATTCCTCCTCGTGGTGTGAACTTGGACCCAGAGACTCGTTACAATATAAACTACATTCAGTTTCAACTGAAAACTACCCAAACTAGCAGTGACTAGCAAGACATGTTGAGAGGTATTAAATCATCTTCAGAAGTCAAGTAAAGACTGTCATGGCTTCTGCCCATTGGTGCTGCCGGCTCAGGAACCGAACGCATTGAGGTTGAAGACTGAGCGAGTACAGAAAGGTTTCTTAGATACTTACAAGGTAAAAAACGGGCGAGCTGTCGCTTGTACACTGGAAATTTGGGTCGCTTGTGCACTTGAAATTATGGTCGCTTGTACACTTGACCTTTGAGCACTGTCCGAACATGTCGTCACCAAACGCTTTAGGTTGGTCGGTTTTACACTGAGCATACATTGAAAACCGATGAGGGAAACCCAAGACCGAGGTCTTCCATGGAGCATACATTGAAAGCCGATGAGGGAAACCCAAGACCGATGCCTCTGTATGATACATCGGATAAGTACTACTACTACTACTACGACGCTGACTACTCCCACTACTACTAGTACTAGCGCTACTACTACTACTACCACCACTACTAGTAGTGCATCCCACTACTACTACTACTACTGCCACTACTGCTACTACTACTACTACTACCAGTACTACTACTACTACTACTACTGCTGCTGCTGCTGCTGCTTCTACTACTACGACTCTTACTACGGAATAGAATCCTGTAGAATATCGACAACCGAGTTTGTACGTGTGTTCTCTGTGACTTTTCCAACTTTTTGGAATGATGAACATGCAAGGAACACTTGCGTTTGTGGTGCAGTTTTGGTTTGGATGGCTCTGCCAGAACAGAGTCACCTAGCACTGGCGCCAAAGACACTGAGAGACAGATTATTGTGATGTCAAAACACTTTCCAGTCCTGGTTGTACACATTCACTACACAATCAACACACCCACGCTGAAACATCTTGCATGATTTAACCGGACTAGTGTTTTCATTCAAACGTCTTCATGTTTTCAGGTGTTAATGAAGAAGACCCTTTTCGTTGCAGTTTCAAACCTCTGTTTTCAGCACGCTGTATGAAGCGCCCATGTGCGAAGAAGCACCTGAAGAAGCCCGCTGCGACCACACGCTGGAAATGCAAAGCGAGCTTGAGCAGAAGTTCGCTGGATAGAGATGGTGTGAAGGAGGAGATCCGCAAGTGGGCTTCTCAGGTGAGTGGTCAGCTGATCGATATTCGATTATCTCAACATGACAACCGTCCGGATCATTACCGGTACACCTGGAATTGTGCTTCGTGCTTGAACTGCAACTTCCGAGGGGTTGGTACCTACGATGTCACATCTGAGGTTCTTTGGATGCAATGTATCACACATCTGTAGGGGTTATACTAGCAGAGGTCAGATGTTCAGAGTCCAGAAATCCAGCGGGAAATGTAGGTGAGACAGAAGCGACAGAATGTGAGTGAAAAGTCTGAGAGAAAGAGCGTCGGACGGCAGTGACATCAGGTCTTGGAGCTGATCGCCACCGACGCGGACAAGCACACGATGGATCGTGTGTACGGAGGGCGCAAGGATTCGCTCTTGGCCGGTCACAAGATGTTCATCCAGGAGTACTTGGGACAGAATACCTCTTATCGCATGCAGCAGCTGGTTGAGATGTTGCGAGAGAAGTTTCCAGACCTCGAGGTCACAGACAAGTTGGAGACAAAGTTGAAGACATACATTGACAATTGGAAGAAGCGGCATCGCCAGGATGCCCGCGTGGCCAAGCGTGAGGACTGGGTGACGGCTGATTTCCAGTGCTTGGTGCGGGAGCTTCCGGCTTTGGAAGATGCTGTTGTCTCTGACGAGCTGGTGTTGGTGGATCACAGAATAGATGAGCAATTATGCCTGGTCTTTGCGTGTCCGAAGCTGGTGCAAGAGACTGCAAAGAGAGTGGCGAATTGGCAGTGGCTGAAAGTGTGCGCCGATGGAACGTACAGAATGGTTCAAGGAGACTATGTGGTTGTGTCGGCAGGGTTTCTGTCCAAGACCTTTGGCAGACATGCGCACCCTGGCGAGCCTGAGGAAGGATTCACGACGCAGTTCAATGAGTTGGTGCTGGCCATTGCGCATAAGGAGAACACAGAAGTGTATTCGTTGCTCTTCTCTGCTTTGGTGAACGTGGTGGCTCAGTTCGGTGAGGTTGTGCCCCGTTTGCATTAGTGTGGAGTCAAGGGTGTTGACCAAAGCCAAGGTGACATTACAACTTTGGCGTAAAGAAGGTAGCATGACATACTGCCTCAAAACCCAGACTATTAAGAGTTTGTTGTTCCGAATATCAGATGTAGCAGAGACGTATCGAACCCAGCAGTGCGTGTGTTCGTGACGTATGATTGGATCAGACGTAGTGCAAATGTTGCACTCACTCTCGATGGCTCCGAGGCGCGTGCTACCTATAAGCCGCACCGGCACACTGGACTCTTTAACTTGTGTCCGGGGCGCTCGGTAGCTGTAAGACGCACCGGAGAGAGTTGAGCAGTGTCAAAATCCTCCTAGGAACAGTTTAAGCAAACTTGTAAACTCCAACTTGCCTGCGCAAGCCAAAACTGCAGTCGTTCAAGCTTGCGGAAGCCACCGCTAGCCAGCCTTTTCGGAAGCCAGTCGTGCGTATAACAGATAGTAGATCGGTTTTCTGACGCACCGGACAGACTTGCTTGACTGGATTGCTCCGGGGCGCATGCTACCTGTAAGCCGCACCGGCACACTGGACTCATTTCTGGTGTCCGGGGCGCTTGGTAGCTGTAAGGCGCACCGGATAGATTGGACTGACCCGAGGCTCCGGGGCGCGTGCTACCTGTAAGCCGCACCGGCACACTCGACTCATTTCTGGTGTCCGGGGCGCTTGGTAGCAGTAAGGCGCACCGGACAGATTTGATGACAGATTTGATTGACCGGAGGCTCCGGGGCGCGTGCTACCTGTAAGCCGCACCGGCACACGCGACTCATTGACTTGTGTCCGGGGCGCTTGGTAGCTGTAAGACGCACCGGAGAGAGTGGAGCAGCGTCAAAATCCTACCAGGAACAGTTTCAGCAAACTTGTAAACTCCAACTTGCCTGCGCAAGGCCAAACTGCTGTCGTTGAAGCTTGCGGAAGCCACTGCGCAAGTAGCCAGCATGGGCGGATGCAAGTCGTGAGTACAACAGATAGCACACCTGTTGTTTGATTCCTGGGTTTCTTTCGTTCTTTCTTCCTCTCTCTTTCTTGCAAATGTACAGTGTTTGGGGGCTATTGAACTTCGAGTTCCTCCCCAAAAACATCATCAAAGGAAGTGTAGTGTGCAAAACTTCCGAGTTACGGACATTCAACAGCTGTTCAATACACCACTCATCATACACCACTCATCATACATCACTCATCACACACCACTCATCAAACATCACTCATCATACACCACTTATCACTCACCACTCGTCATACACCACTCATCATACATCACTCATCATACATCACTCATCATACATCACTCATCATACACCACTCATCAAACATCACTCATCATACACCACTTATCACTCACCACTCATCATACACCACTCATCATACACTTCGTGCTTACACCAGTCAACATCATCGTACACCGGTCATCAGACACCACTCATCTCACACCACTCATGAAACACCACTCATCATCCATTTAGCTCTAGTTTCAATAGCTCCAGCTCCAGTTAGTTGTAGTTTCAATATCTGTGCCTCAGTTAGCTCTAGTTTCAACAGCTCTAGCTCCAAAGTGGCGCTTTGTTGGTCAAAAGTCCGAAGCGCATGCGTCTGGCTACCAAAGGTTTGATTGTGTATTATTTCTTCGTTGGAAGGTGTTGCTATGTGTGTTTGTCGACAGGTGTTGCTATGCGGTTCCTTTTTCGTTGGAGCAATGTTTTGAAGATATCTTCCAGAGAAAGCCGATAGTCGATCGACGTTCTTGCAGCGGGAGAGACGCAGCATTCAGTTGTCACCCAAGTTCTAATTTTGTTTCTTTATTCGAAGATGTGTGGCATACATGAGCACTTGTTCATATACCGATTCGACCCGTGAAGTTTGGGCTTCATGAGGCATTTAGACTTTCGGGCCCTGCTCTCCTTGAGTTTTGTACTCTTACTCCGCCTAGCGTTCCACTTTGACTCCACACTGGATAAGTTTTGCTGGCCAGCTCCCCTACAGGCATTCTTCGCAGTGGATTGTTGGTATCTAGATTCTGTCTTGGACATCGGATCTCGGTGCACTGACGAGATTTCGCGATTCGTTGTGCACGCCGTGCTTGACGAAGATAGGTGGCCTTTGGACTTTGAAGCGTTACATCACTTTTCAGAAACTCTAGCAACTGCGTGGAACTCTGTGTGGAAGGAGTGTCTTCATCGGTGTGTGGGCTTGAAATTCTTGACAGCAGCTTTGCTTGTCTTCTCTTCCCGTTTGAGTGGCCAGCGGCAGTGGGCTGTGATGTCGGCAGCAGATTTGACGGCGCGCAGCCCAGCCACAAAGCGCCTGCGGTCCAGCGACTTGGGTGGTGTCTCTGGGCTGCGTATTGTGTCTTTTTCTTGTCAGCGAAGATTTGGATATTAAAAAATTGGGAAGGTCATGTATGTCGGTCGATCGACTCGGTTCTTGAAGGTTCCATCTCTAGTTTATCTTGGCGTTTGACTTACCTTTGTGCTCAGCTTTCGATGGCTTTGTGTGAAGTGAAGTCAATCATCTTTGTGAAGACCAATCAATCCCAGGATTCTCCGTTACCCAGCCCCAAGACTCTTCGCTGCTACTGTGACCACGCGGTGGCGTCGCGTCCTCCAAGCCCGCTGAGTACTTTGGACTCTCCGTGGACCAAAAAGATGAAGAGAGTCTTGGACACAATGTACGCTGGGTTGCTTTGCCTAGGTATGTCCTGTTTTATGCTGTTTTCAAGCTGAGATCTAAAGTTTCCCCCCTGTCTCACGCAGGCTTTTTGCATCAGCAGGGCCGCTCTTTGCGCGGCGCTTCTAGCAACGTCTGGTTGGTCGAGTCCAGCGACGAAGACAATGGAGTGGACGGCGATGACGACGAAGCTGTTCGGTATCTGCCGAAGAGTCATGACGGTGCCCAGACCACATCCATGCACGCTCCTGACGGTCGCCGCGTGTGTTTGCAGGACTCGGTGGATGAGACTGAGGACCAATGGACAGAGCCGCTGAGCCCACTGTCGAAGGACCTTGCAAGAGGTCGTCGTCAACGGTACGTCGAGCTATTTGAGGACGGTCGCGGTTGGATGTTAAACCTTGTTTTACCCAATTGCGGTTCTAGCGCTCTGCACACGTGCTTCTAGACAGCATCAAAGGACGATGAAAGTGAACGCGGGGACTTTGCAGAAGACCCGATCATCGATGTGGCCGTGAATCCAAGCTCATCCTTCAGCGGCCACGCTCCTGATGGTGCTGCTGCGGTGGCCCCGGTTCTTCGACCTGCCTTAGAAAGACAGAAGAAGAGTGAGAGGCAGTTCAAATGGGGAAATTGCGCTCGCTGCAAAACCCGAGCCCTGGTGCCGCACTTACTAAAGTCAGGCGCCAAAAAAGGGCATTTAGTTTTATATTGCTCAGACTGGTTCCGCTTCAAGCCTGACAATGTGACGCGGAAGTGTTGGTATCGCACCGACTTTCCGCGATCCAGGCTTTCGGAAGTCAATCCTGTTATCCGAGACCAGTACAGTGCCTTGCCTAGCGCCTTGCATCGCAATGCGCGTTGACAGACAGACCTTGAAAAGCGCTCAGAGAAACTACCTGCGGCCTTGTCGTTTTTTCTTGAGCTCAGACACCCCTATATCTATATGGGAGTTATCCAAAAGGTCCTTGTAAGGGTTTTTAATGTCGAGAGCCTTGGATGACATGATCGTGGGTCTCGCGAAAGTTTTTTTTCGAGTTCGCGAATGTTAATGTTTTTTTCGCGAAAGATTCGCGAAAGTATGAATTTTTATTGTATGTTCTTTGGCTAGCCTTCAGGCTTGCCCCATGCATAACCAATAACCACATCCTTTCCTGACCGTCAGCAGCTTCAACTTTGGAATCCGTGTGAAGCTTCCTTCCTGTTTCATGTAGTCCACCCTATGTTATGTATGCCGTAAAAACCTCCAAAGCACAGGGATTATTTCGCGAAAGTTTCGCGGAAGTCTGGCGAAGGTTTCGGCGAATGAATCGGCTCCAGAGGAACCCCGTAGCCCATAGCAACCCCACAAACTGTATTTAGAAATCGAGTCCCTACCAGGTTAAAGGGTTTCATGACATGGTGAACCCCCGCGAAAGAAAAACACAGGGTTCGCGAAAGTTTCGTGAATGTTAATGTTTTTTTCGCGAAGAATGGCCATTTCAATGAACAAGAATATTGGACAACCACCATATATATATATATATTTGTTTCTCTCTCTCTCTCTATATATTTATATATGTCTCTCTCTATATATATGTATCTACCTACATCGAAGAGGTCGGGTATATGAATGATCCCTGATTCTCTGCAGGTTCTTCTTCCATGCTGTTGGATTCCACCTTGGTTCCTGTTCTATGATACTCTTAGACAATGCGTACTGCCAACATTTGTGGCTCAAGGTGCACTTTGTGTGCTCTTGCTAGTCTGTCAGCCGATCCATGTTGACACCCCACCCAACCCCACCCCACCCGAAGGTAAGATGTGATGATGTGGCCGCGTGGGCCAATCATTCCATTAGATCCCCACCCACCCCCC